TCTTCTCTGTTTCTTATAACACTGTCTCTGAAATTTTAATATTCAAGGCTCCAACCCACTTGTCACATTTTCTTATTTTAGTTTTTATTAACGAAAAATTAAAGGAAAACCTCTTGTTAACTTTTTTTTTAAATTTATTTATTTTATAAGTAACTTATAATGTTATATGATTTTCAACTATGAATTTATATTATTTTTAACAATATTTTTAAAATCAAACCAATAATTAAACCAATTTAGACACTAGTTCAAAAATTTAATAGTTCAATTCTGATTCTGTTTCAAGAATTGTAAAAATTAATTAGACAAATTTCTTGAAATAGTATCATTAAACATTGAATTTTTTCTTTTCTCATATGACGTAAACAATAATATAGACAAGTGAATTTTATCTTTTTGACATAATTTTTAGTTTAATTTTTCATGTCTCTGCACTTATTTAGTTTGATTCTCTAAATATGTTTCATTTATGTAATTTTATTTGATCTCATTACATGTAAATTTTTGTATTTTATTTTTAATAACATCATAAAGTCAACAGTAAAAAAATTGATTTTAACATTATTTATTATTTTATTTTATATATAGCTAATAAACTAACATATCATTAATTTAATTTAAATAAATTTTATGTGGAATAAATAATATTCATATGATAAATATATATTAACAAAATTAACCACTTAAAATAAAATATAAAATTTTGAAATGCATTACAATTTTACAAGAATTTAAATAATTAGTTGTATATTTTCATCTAATCATATAATATAATTTATGATAAAACTGTTTATTTTTATACTAATTACTTTATAAAAAATTGTATTTATTATTTAAAATAATTTTTAATCAACTATATAACATTTTTTTACATTAACAATATATAAACAGTTAAGCTAATTTTACAAATTATATATAATGTTTTTACATTAACAGTATATAAAAAGTTAAACTCGTTTTATAAACTATCTTATGTCTCTCATCTTCTAACTATGAAATTAAGTAATTTTACAAGATTTTAAAATGTAATGCAATTTTACAAGAATTTAAAATTATACTTATTTAAAAAATAAATAATATAACTAATTAGTATGTAAGATCATGACTCGACGTTAATCGTCAATTTTAAATAGTTTATGCTTCTTTATTTTCTTAATTGGTATAATTTATGTTAGTTAATTATAATAACGTGTAAACTATGTTAATTAATTACTTAATTGCACAATTTTAGTTCTCACACAATTTTGAATGTAATTATTAATTAATTTATAATTATTCTTTGTTAGTTGATATTTTTATCCTGATTTTATGAAGAAAAAAATGTGGTTATCTTAATTTTGAAGAAAATATTCGATTTTTAAATATTAATATTAGTTAAAATATTATTTCTAAGTTCAAATAAATTTGTCTTAATTTAAATATTTTTTTAAAAAAATTAAAGTTAGTCCAATATAATTTTAATTTTTCTAAAACAATAAAAATTAGAAGCTAATCTGCAAAATAAAATAATTAGTACATGAAGTAATTTAATTTATAAAATAATTTATGATAATTTTTTAATAGTTAATTTATTGTTTTTATAAAGAAAACTGGCCCATGGACTAGTCCTAGCCCTTTATGGACTCCCTGTTACCTTTTTTATAAGTGGTTTTTTGGTCCTGTGAATTCTTTTGGTCCTGACCCATATGGGTTAGGGCTTTGGAGGGTGGACTGAGTCCATTTGACATGTCTAGTCCAACACAACGAATATTCAAGCCCACGTTCTTTTGTTTCCACGTTGCGTGTCAGTTGCTGGAATTGAAGCATTGTTTTGGAAGTGGGCTTGTGTTATCTGCCCCAATCTTTATTTACCTATGGGCCTGTAGCCTCTCTTGTTTTGGATTTTGAAGGGGGAAATTGCTTACAAAATAAACCTAGTGTTGTGGTGGATCAATCTAGATTTGATTTTCAAGCTTCTTGGTCTTCTATACGAAATACAAATTGAGGTACATTAAACTTTTGAAGAACTAGGAAGGAAAAAAAATGAGATTGATAACTAAAAGCTTATTATTTATTTTATTTATTATTTTTCTACAAATAACAAAAGTGATTGGGCTAAAGTAGGTATAATAATTTGGGTTCATTTTATCTTTCTCTTTTATTACTAGGTTTTCTTACTCTTTTAAAAATTGGCCATCTTAGCCCCTATTTGAAAGAATAAAATAATGAAAAATATAAAAAAGGAAAAAGAAAACAATGATATAATAAATTAAAAAGAAATGTTTTCTTTACCTAGATTATTGTATTACGCTTCGAAAAAAACCCACTCCCAAACAATAATATTAAGTCCAGGATATAATAAGTTGGGTTTAGAAAGCGATTGTCTAAATTAAATTAGAAACTTACAATCATAAAAATAAAATAAAATAATAACAACATATTAAGTTGTAGCAGACAAACCTAATAATTTTGCTTCATTGCGTATTATTATTTAATTTAGGCTACTACAAGCCCAAAGTTTTTTCCCCCTGTTTGTTATAATTGGGCTAGCTTTAACTACAAAGCCCTTTTTTCCCTTGTTTTTTTAACTAATTGGGCTTTTTCTTTTTAATTTTTAACTGCTTTTCCTTACTTTCTAAAATCAAATCCGCCATCTTAGCCAGTTTTTTTTTTTTTTTTTTTTTTTTTTTATAAATACGGCTGAAAATATATAGAATAGATTAAATTACAAAAAATATATAGAATAGATTCAAAAAATTGCTTTCTGCATCTAGATTATATCAGTATCACGCACCCATCATATGTATTCCAAAACAATAATGATAGGTGGAGGATATAATAGTATGGTGTAGGAAGCAATTGTCCAAATTAAATCAGAAACTTATAACCATAAAAAGAAAATGATTATATTCTAGCAGAAAAATATAATATTTTTGTTTCATTGCCTATTATTATTTAAGTGAGAAACCCTAAATTTTTTTTCCTGCTTATTATAATTTGGCTAGCTTTAACTAAGAAGCCTTTTATTCCCCTTATTTACCCTTCCTAAAAATAAAATAAAAAGATTGGGCTAAAATAGGCCTGATTGTTTGAATTCCTTTTATATCTCTCTCTTGACTATGTTTTGCCTATGCTTCAAAAATATATTGGACCACCTTAGCCCATTTTTCAAAGAAAAAAAAAACACAGCAAAGAAAACAAAAAAAATAGCGATAAAAAATTAAACTAAAACCTAACAATCATTAAAAAAAATCACATTGAAGAAGGAATACCAAACAAATTTTTCTCATTGTCTATTATTATTATTTAACCCAGATTAGTAGGAGTCCAATTTTTTTTTTCTTTTTCTGTGCTTATTATATAACTGGGCTAGCTTAAGTTCATAAGCCTTTTTTCTTTCTATATTTACTATTTTTCTTAAAAAAACATTATTGGGCTGAAGAAGGCTTGATTATTTGGATTCCTTTTAGGCTCATGATATGTACAATTTTTTTAATATGTGCACCTTCTTTTTTAAAAAAATTAAATAAATTCTTAACATATCTTTAATATATATTTTAAAAATTTTAATTTTATACATTTTCTCTTTCTTTTTGACCCACCTCCTTCATTTTCCTTCTCAATTTTTACACGCACCCGACACGTAGAATGAATTGGTGTGCAACGATGTTGTAGATGTATGCGACTTCCTCGACAATGTTAAAGGTATTAAGTTTAAACACGTGTTTTTTTTTAAAACTTATTTTTCTTTCGTACTTTCAAAAAGTTGCAACACTAAATTTAGTGCTCCGAAACATGTCGTCAAAAAATTAATTTTGCTATTTGGAAAAGTACTTTTGAAATACCAAGTATTATTTGAAAAACTAAATTTTCACTAAATTTGATGTTGAGGTTTACGGGAGTGTTCAAGAGGAGGAAGTGTTTGAAGAAAAAATGCACGTCTAGCTTGACATCTTTGACACGGTTAACGAGGTTATATGTGCCTACAATGCTATCGCACACTAGTTTTATAGCCCTACAGTGTGTGAAAACTAAAAGAGGAAAAGGAGAAAAAAGAGTAATCTGAAAACTTAAATAATTAAAATTACTTACTAAAATAGATGGAGAGGAAAAAAAGGGACACATGTGAAAATAAAAAAAATAAAAAAAAAACAAGTAAAAAAGTGTGTGAAAAAAAGAAGAAAGTATTAAATTGAATGTTGTTGAATGTTTAAAATTTTAAAAATTAGAAAAAAAAAATATTATAAATATTTTAAAATTTTTATTTTTTGAAAAAAGAAGGTGTACTTATCTAAAAATAAATAAATGAAATGTATATATCATCTCCCTTCTTTTTATCTTTCTCTTTTTGACTGTCATTACTTACTCTTTTAAAACCAAATTGGGCCACCTAAGCCCATTTTCCAAATAAGAAAAACATAAATGAAAATTTCAAAATAATAATGATATAAAATTAGAAAGTTACAATCATAAAAATAAAATTAAGATTACATAGTAGCGTGCGAACCTGATGATTTCTTTCGTTGCCTATTATTAATTAACTTAGAGTGGTAGAAGCCCAAATTTCCAACCATGATTATTCGTACGAGACAGTAATCTTCATTTAGATGTCAATGATTCCTTTATTCTCTCTTTTATTTGCTGTATTTATTTTGCTTTGGGCCACTGACATTGCTGGGTTCATGGGATTGGATTAATATGGGCTCATCATTTTTTTTTTGGCGAAGACAAAAACTTTTCTGCGGATTACACATTTTTGTGAATTTAGGTTTGTGTCAACGGATTAGAAAGGTGTTAGTAAGGATTTCTCTCTTCGTTCTGGGCTCTATGGATCCTTAAGTGTTACATACAGAATAAAGAAACCTAAAACGAAATACATATAAAATAAAAAATATATCCATAATAAACAAAACGAATAACAGAGAACCAAGAACTTCAACTAGGATTGCTGGGCCCTAAGGCCCAATTAAAAAAGATTAAAAAACTGGCTTATAAAACCAAGAACTTCAACTAGGATTGCTAGGCCCTATAAGTAAGGCCCAATCAAAAAATTGGCGCCGCTTAATGTGACAAATACACGGTATTCTTTAGTAAAAGGCGAAAGAATAGTTCGCTATGTATTTATCACACGGCTCCGTGCCTAAATGATGAAGTAGTTGTCTTATTTTATGGCATAGAGTTTACTTCAGCTTTGTAAGTTGCTCGATGTGGGTTTTTATCAAGACAGACACCCTTGCGCATTCACAATACTTTAGTCCACCCGGAACTCTCATTCGGCCCTCCAGTTACTAGAAGATTACGAGTGTGCCCTCAGACAAGTATATTTGTGTCAGTCCACGTGGCCGATAAGACCCTTCCGGTACACATATATTTTAATTCTTTCACATAGAAATTAATGTCATGCAATAAGAAAATCAAGCGAGAGTTTATTTTTCACATAGTAAAAATTGTTTATAGGGAATGTGAAAATGGAAATTTAATATTCTTATATTTGTTATGAGTTTTCAAAAATTATGCTTGAATATTGTTCTTTTTGGGAAATGTCTTCCTACTACTTTTCTTGCTCTTCTTTTCCAGTGTTGGAATTTGAAATTATTGTTGAAATATTAAAAGTTACATTTTAACTTACTTGTAATTTTTTCTTTAAACTTTATTTAAATTATTTTAAATTAAACAGAAAAAATAAACACTTTATATTTTTATATAAATAAAATATAAAAAAAGTAAAAAAAAAGTAAAATAGTTATTACTCTTACAGAAAAAATTATCAAACATAATTATTAATGGTTATTTTATTTTAAACTTCTTTTTATTCTTTAACTAACAAATAATAAATATTAGAGGATAAAAATGTCGAATGAAATATGTATAAAAATGGGAGATCTCCTTTATTTATATATATAGAGAGATTTTGAAAATATTCCAAAGAATATTAAAACACAACCAAACATATTTTATAAAGATACTTGAGAATAACATTCCACTGAAAATATTTTCAAAAATATGATTTCCAAGAACGCAAAATCATAATCTAAACAAATATTTTCAAGTGAACTTAATACATCTAAATAATGAGATTGATTCCAATTTGAAGTATCTAAAAAAAGTAGATAGATGAATCATCATTAAATTTCTATTGAAATTTAAGACATTTTATGTTTGTATAAATTTTATTTAAATAAATTTTTTTTAAAATCAAAATAGTGATGTCTCTCCATAGAGGTAGAGTTGTCAAAGTGGGTAATTCGATCCGACCCATCACAAGTTAGGTTATAAGTGAGTTAATCCGATCTAGCTTAGAGCTAAAAAAAATAGTTAATCACCTATACACTGTCAGTGTAATATTTTTTCTACTGGCAACCAATATATGAATAGTGCCTTTTTTTATTTTAATTTGATTAAATAAGTAAATGACATAGCACTATTAAAAGATATGATTGGTTGTCAATGTAAAAAATTTTTACACTGACAGTGTATAGGTGATTAACTCTAAAAAAAACAACCTGACCCGACTCACTACAGGTTAGTGGGTTAAATGGATTGGCTTGCTTAAATTTAAAAAAAAATTAAAATTATTGAACTTTATAAAAAAAAATATTATAATCTTATATTTTAAAATTACAACTATGTTAACAAATAACACAAATAAAATGTCAAAAAGGAATTAAATATTATCCACAACCAACTTATAAAATCAAAATTATTACATAAAATATTGACAAATAATTTCAAATTGATACTAATTATTATAATTCACAACTAGTATGTACAAAGGAGAAGTCATCTACCACTCCTCCTAACCTTCTTCTATCAGAAGAAATAATAACAAATCTCTTTATCTCTTATTTCTCAAATAAATAAATAAATAAAGTTGGATTAATTTTGTTTATTTTTGAAGAAAACTTTGTATATGTGATCAGAATTCAGAAGTAACTATTGTATGACGTCAGAGGATACTAACATCATTCTTACGTGTAATTACATCTCGAATTCTCCTTCATTAAATTTTATTCAGAATGATAAAAAAAAGGTGGGAATAGAATTCTCCTTTGGGAGTTAAGAATTAAGAGGAAGTGATGAAGGAAACAAAAAGGCATACCAAATTGAGCGGTGGACCAACTCTCCATTATTAAATGTTTTTTTTATTAATAGAAAGTCTCATCAGTTGTCTCAAAATTTGGTATATTTCTGGAAATTGAAAAACTCCAATTCCTCTTCTTTTACCTTCCCCACCAACGACCACATCAACCCCCCGTGATACTACTTCCCCACATTATTATGTTTTTATTTATTAAGCTGTATCAGAAATTACTCATTGACTAAGAAGTGAAACTTAACCAGAATGGTCATTATTTTCAATGGACCAATTATTCTTTGGCATCAAATTAAGATTTCATCAAGTATAGAACTCTCTGCGACACCACATGCTACAAAACAAAATTTAATATTTTCTGCAAACTCATCTAACATGTAAGGCGTAAATAATATCGTAAGGTAAACAAATTTTTTTTTTTCATGAACATAATATTTGTTCATTAAAAGGTACTGAAAATTTTCATTTTTTAATATACAAAATATTTTATTATAATTCGAGGCCAGGCAAGAGATCATATTCTTGTTTTGTAATTAAATGAATGTTTTGATTTCATAATAGTACATGTCAAATATATTATAATTTTTTTTTAACCTCAAGCGTGTGATTCAGCGGTAGGGGTTGATCTATCTTTAAGCAAGGTCAAAGATTCAAATTCTGCCTTATGTATGTAGCCGCGTTAAATCTTGGGGCCAGCTATCCTACCTAGTCACCATCTATCGATAGTGGATATTCCAGGAACAAACAAAAAAAAATATTTTTTTGCTTATTGTGATAGTGGTGATGGTTCGGGATTTTTGTTATGTCAACAAAGCTATCATTTAACTAATTATCAAAATATATTACTGATTTAGCTTCGGTATATAAGAATCAAATAAATACATAATTCAAGTGTTACATTTGTTTATTTTAATTAATAATGTCATAATTTAAAATTTTATTTTTAAAAGAATAAAATTAAATGATATAAGTAGTAGTTATATTTAATGAGTTTACTAAATTAAGGAATAATTGTTCAACCAATATTAAAAGACCCACAATAAATTAAAAATATAATAAGACGTTATCAATTAATACATTCCAAAGTAGACTTGTGATTCTTATATTTAAAACTAAAATAACATTGTCAATTGTTTCTTATATACAGAAACAAAGGCAGTAATTTGTATAAAAGAATGGCACAAATTATGTTAGAAGCTGTTCCAGTTTGTTTCAACAATCCACATCAATTGGGTAAAGTAGATGAAGGTAATTTAATTGAATAATAATTATAAAAAAATATTAAAAAAAAGTTCACATCAACAATACCTTTTTAGTATTTTTTTTTCAATGATTTTTCCATAGCACAACTAAGAATTGAATCTCAGTTAACGTGATTCAATTATTTCTCAATTGAATCGGACTGTTACTTGAAAAAAATATAGAGAAAACAGTAATAACTATAAATTCCAATAATATAAATACATAAATGAGAGAGAGAAGTCTGAGATTGAACATTATTTCATAAATAATTTTCAAAATTATATTATAATGTCACGTTCTAAAACCCGGCTACCATGTGATACACGACAGATGGCACCCTCACTCACCCCGTCATAAGTGTTTGTGAAAAGATGAGTAAGAACTAACAACTTGGCTTAGTGTGTGTTTGGTTTGTGTCACTTTCCAATGCACGTTTGATGGAAATTATTTCACTCTTACAAAGCTTCTACGTTGATACACCTATACGTGCAGCAAAACAAATAATCGTAGCTAGCAAGAACATAAATATATAATTATATACAATACATGATCACGAAAAATTAATTTGATTCTCACTAAACATTTCTTTTAGTCTACAAATGTATACAAAAAGGGATGAAACTAATTACTGCTAATGCTAAGACGTTGTTACAGCATCATCATGTTCATGGACATGCTCAACAATCTCATGATTCTGGCCACACAAGGGTGAAGAAGCAAAAGAAGAAACAGCAGAAGAATAGGAAGTTGAATGATGAGAACAAGATTTAGAAGTAGTATTAGAAGCTGCTATACTGAAGAGTAAATCCACAAAAGCACCCACTATAAACCCATGATTGTTCCTTCCATTGACCCTCAAGTACCAACTCAAAAGCTCCTCCAACCCCTCCCAATCCCTCACTCCATGAGACTCAACCATCTCCTCCATCGATCTCTTAAAGTCCTCATAAGGGTCCTCTGATTCCATAGCAAGGACCACACTTTCCTTGAAGGGAAAACCACTTGCTTTAGCCTTTTCCAAAATGGAGCTTGTGTCACCAGGTTCGAAGAACAACCTCTCTGACCTCACTCCACGTACCAACATCTCCAAAGACTCACCATCACAATGGTAGTACTCTTCTGACTCGGTTGAGATGCTTGCAGATTCGGATGAGGTTGTGAACCACGACTTTGGAGTCTCAATAACACTCTCTGAATGGTCAAAGAACACCGAGTTAACCGTCTTGAAGATGTCATCATCTCTGCCTCTGAATGAAAGGGTCTTTGAGTGGCCACAAGAGGGTATGAACTGCCATGGATGGTGACTATGATGATGCTTTGTTGTTGGTGGCTCCTTGCTTTTGAAAAGAGAGGGAAGCTTCAAAGCTTTCTTTCCCATTTTTTTTTTCAAAGTGATGAGGCTGAGGATGTGATGGTGTTTGTGTTTCTATGGGATTTGGGAAGCGTTTTGGTTGGTGTGTCTAATAAATTTGATGAGAACAGAGTATTTAAAGCAAAGGCTCTGAGAGGAGGCAAGAGAATATGACAAACAAATGGGGTCTGGTAAGTGCTTTCATGGGTGAATTTAATTTGTAGGTTTGTAAAATTCAATGGTATTCAATGCTCCCATCAACAACTCAATGTAACACCACCTTTTTCAGCACTGTCTGCCTCATATCTTTTTTAAAAAAATCACAGATACTACATAATCAAATTATTCCATTTCAAGTTTTATTCCCTGATATTTTATTTTTTTATAGCAGTGCAGCGCTGCCAGAAAGATGTTATAGTGATTTTGCATTGCTAAAAAGTTTTTTTTTTCTCTCTAGAATTAGCAATGAGAACAAAAACTTAATTTTTGCAATATCTAAGAACCAAAACCTACAATTTTTTAATATCGATACTAAAACTTGTTTAAGACTATCATATGACTATAGTACCAACCAGTTTCTATGCGATATATAGTCGAATTTTTTAATTTGAAAAAAAAAATACCAATAATACAATTCGCAGTTACCTTATACATCTGAATTGACAGAAATTGTAATAGTCCACATTATCTAATAATTTCTCACTATAATCAAGTGAATATATTTTAATAACAGCAACCAAGATCAAACTTAAAATTTAATGGATATTATTTTAATTTACCACTAAATCGATCATAATAATTTAATCAAGGAGGGTTTAACATTGCATTGAGGGCATATATATATATATATATATATATG